ATGAAGCATATCCTCCAGAATCTGAATTACCCTTTCAGATTGCCCATCAGTCTGAGGATGAAATGTTGTGCTGAAATTCAAGTCTATTCCCATGGCTTCCTGGAAACTCCTCCAATACCTTGCATTGAAGCGGGAATCACGATCAGACGTGATTGATAGTGGCACTCCGTGTAGTCTCATGATGTGCTCCAGGTACAATTCTGACAGAATCTTCTGAGAATACGTCGTACGGAACGGTATGAAGTGCGCAGACTTCGTCAACCTGTCCACCACCACCCAGATGGCATCGTGCTTCAGCTCGGTTCTTGGTAGCCCCATCAGAAAGTCCATAGTGATGTGCTCCCATTTCCATCCCGGGACAGGAAGAGGTTGCAACTCTCCCGCTGGCTTCTGGTGCTCAGCTTTAATCCGGAGGCAAGTCACACATTCCGAGACAGACTCACAAACGTCTCTTTTCATGTCTCTCTACTAGTACTGTCTTTTCAGGTCCTGGTACATCTTTGTACTTTCCAGATGTATGGCATATCTCGATTTGTGTGCCTCTTGCAGAATCGTCTTCTTTACCTCACCCGCCTTAGGAACAGCAAGGCGGTTGCGAAAATACAAGGCTCCATCCTCTCGGATTCTCCAATCCTCGAATTGCTCTCCATTCTGGATTCGATTCCTTGGGGGTGTGGATTCTGCCATTGATTCTGCTTAACCTGTTGCACAATATCCGGTGTAGAGATCAGATTGTACACCATAGCCTGGTTACGATCTTCGTAGAACTGAAGATCATACTCACTCACCACTTCAGTCTTTTTCCAATCTTTCAAAGCTAATGACACCAGAGCCCCCGTCGTCTTCCTACTAAGGGCATCAGCCACCACATTAGCTTTTCCAGAATGATATTGTAGAGTGAAGTCATAATCTTCCATATACTCCACCCATCTCCTTTGCCTGAGATTCAAGTCTTTCTGAGTAAACAAGTACTTCAGACTTTTATGGTCAGAAAAGACCTGAAACTTTGCTCCATAGAGATAACACCTCCATATCTTCAGAGCAAATATTACCGCTGCCAGTTCCAAATCATGAGTGGGGTAATTCTGTTCATGTGGTCTTAATTGACGAGATACGTACGCTACCACACGCCCCTCTTGCATTAAGACATAGCCAAGCCCACTCCCCGAGGCATCAGAATACACCTCATATGGTTCTTCACTATCAGGAATAGTCAAGACTGGTGCACTTGTCAGTCTGACCTTTAGTTCCTAAAAAGTATTTTCACACTCAGCGTCCCACTGGAATCTGACCTCTTTCTTAGTCAACCGAGTCAGCGGTGCAGCAATACTCGAGAAGTCTTTCACGAAACGCCGATAGTACCCTGCAAGTCTGAGGAAACTGCGAATCTCCACTACATTCTTCAGCCTTTCCCACTGTAGTACCGCCTTTATCTTGGAAGAATCTATAGAAATCCCCTGTCTAGAAATCACATGCCCAAGGAATTTCACTTCTGTCAACCAGAAGTCACACTTTTCTTTCTTCGCATACAGCTAGTGTTCACGAAGAGTTTGAAGAACAATTTTCAAGTGTTGCTTATTTCTTCCCAAGTCTTCAAGTAAACCAGTATGTCGTCAATAAAGACGATCACGAACCGATCCAAGTACGGTCAGAAAACACGGTTCATTAGATCCATGAATGCAGCCGGGGCATTCGTCAACCCAAAAGGCATTACTAGAAACTCGAAGTGCCCATACCGAGTTCTAAATGCAGTCTTCAGAATGTCTTCCTCCTTGATTTTCAGCTGATGGTACCCAGATCTCAAATCAATCTTAGAGTAGAACTGTGATCCACCCAACTGATCGAATAATTCATCGATCATCGGCAGTGGGTATTTGTTCTTCACAGTTACCCTATTCAATTGACGGTAGTCAATACACAACCGAAAAGATCCGTCGTGCTTCTTCACAAATAGCACCGGTGCACCCCAAAGGGAAGTACTATTCCGGATATACCCCTTTTCTGCCAGCTCCTCAAGCTGCGTTCTTAATTCTTTCATCTCCGTCGGGGCCATCCGGTATTGAGGGATGAAAATAGGTGCCGTTCCCGGAACTAAATCAATACAGAATTTAATTTCCTGATTTGGCGGTAAACCAGGTAGCTCATCAGGAAATACATCTGTAAACTCATCCATTACAGGGATTCCCGCACTATCTCCAGTTACTTCAAGTTCACCTTCCAAAGCAAGGAGGGAAGAGAAACATGATAGATTCTTCCGTCCCCCAACACTGTACTTCAACAGTCGTTCTCCTAGGACTGGATTCAGATCTGCCTGATAAGAAATCGATGTTTCAGACTTAGTCATCAGAGTCACTCTCCTACGATAACAATCAACAATTGCTCCGTATTCTGACAACCAATCCATTCCGAGAACCACATCAAACAGGCTCATCGGAAGGATAATCAAGTCAGCTCTCATTCGCTCACTCCCAATCGTGATTTCACACGATCTACACACACTCATTACCTCCACACATCCCAGTGGAGAGTTCAAATTCATCGGGACTTCTAAATTTTCAGATTTCAATTTCAAAGCCCGAACAAAAGAACTTGATATAAACGAGTGTGTGGCACCTGTGTCAAACAACACGTGAGCAAAAGAATGAGAGATTAGAATCATACCCTCAACCACCGCGTTGCTGGTCTGACCTCCAGAACTGCCTCCTGCCAGGGCATAAGCTTGTCCCTGTACTTTCCCTTTCCTTCTGTCACCAACATTAGGCCGTTGGTTCGGAGGACTATACTGTTGCGGCGGAGGTGGTTGTACCGGTCTCGACACGTGAGGCCAGAATTGTGTAAGCAGAGGTGGTTGATAAGTCGGCACAGGAGGGTATTGCATCTATTGTGGCTGATATGGTGGCATGTACGGTGGTGGCCCTTCTTGACTGTACGAAGCATCACTTTGGGCTTGTTGAGCCGGCGGTCGATTAGGACAATTCCTCCTAATATGACCCACCTGCCCACAATGGTGACACCTGGGCCCGTATGGAGCACTTCTGTCACTTCCTGACGAACTACTGCCACCACTAACCACTCCCCCACCAGGCTGTCCCTGGTTGCGGTTCCTTCTACCACTCCGCTGTGGCCCGCCGGAAATAGATGGTCCCCCAGAAATTGAAACTCTTCCCGCTTGTTCTTTACTCTGGTGATAAGCTATGTTATCCTGCTCCACCCTAGTCCTGTTCCACCCGTGTAGCAGCAACTACCAAATCTCAGAAGTTTCGAATCCTTAAGGACCTCCTCACAGAATTCTTGAGGCCCTTCTCAAACTTAAGACACCTCATGGGTTCAGAATCCACTAGTGATGGCGCAAACCGGGATAGGTCATTAAACTTGGCCTCATATTCCCTTACAGACATGTCACCTTGCAGTAGAGACATAAATTCAAGCGTTTTTTCCTCCCTATAACTCTGAGGGAAGTACTGCTCATTGAACAGTGTCTCAAATTGCTCCCAGGTCAATCCTGTAACATCCATACTTATCTTGACCTGTTTCCACCAAGTATTCGCTAAGCCCTCTATCTTGTACACCGTAAACTCCACCCAGTATTCATCTGGAACTTCCATAGTATTCAAATGCTTGACTATGGAGTCTAACCAGAACTCTGCTTCCTGGGGTCCTCCCTCACTATTAAACGAGGGGATAGGCACATGCCTAAATTTCCGAAAGTACCCTTGCTTCCAATCCTCAACCGGCCGCCCGTTTTGAGCTATTGTGGCCATGCCTTGAAAGGCAGCATAGAAGGCATCCAGAAATCCCTGATTCTGTTGTGCCGGTTGATTAGCGGGCCTACGGCGAGGCGCCATTTCCTTCAACTGAAATAAAACTAGACTATTCAGTGGATTACAGATGTCACACATGTATGTACAATCCTGGGGTTTCTTAACCTAGGGCTCTGATACCACTCTGTCACGCCCCCCAAACGGGGTGGGTGACGTGGAGCTCGATTAGGGATTAATAAAGCATATTCCCAACCGGCCCTACTCAACTGCATTAAAATATGAATAAATTACAGAATTCCAGAGCCTCTGACACACATGGCTCCACCCCACAGGACATACAGTATCGTATATACATGAACATGTAAATAATCATTACAACAGACATCAACCATAGTCTAATTAATCCGAATATTACATAAGTTTACAGAATTCTCAGTTCCTTACATTTATACCCGAGGATAACCACAATCCTCACTTGATTCCAACAGCAGCACAACTCAACTGCTCCGTAACAAATATCCAGCTACTTTGCACCGCTCCTAGAATCTTCTTGGAGGGGTTTAACACGTTTAAAAGATAAAATGTGAGCGAAAGACCCAGTAGGATATAATTTGAAATGACTTAAAAGTAAATGAATATATAAATGTGTGAGTAAATAAATAAATGGGTAAATGAATAAATAGACATTCAGTTCCAATAGATAGCCGGAACCTCACATCCTTTTTCTCAAAGGAA